AGACACGCCCGGCTGATAGCCGTATTGCCGGCTGGTACCCGCGATGTATTGTAGTATACTATAGTATACTACAGACAGGCCGGGCTGTCAGCAGTATTGTCGGCTGGTAGCCGTGATGTATCGTAGTATACTACAGTATACTGTATACTACCAACAGGCTTGGCTGACAGCCTGACAGTTGTATTGCATTGTAGTATTGTATTACAGTTAAATAACCCCGGCTGGTAGCCGTGATGTTTTGTAGTATACTGTAGTATGCTACAGACATGCCCGGCTTATAGCCGTATTGCCGGCTGGTAGCCGTGATGTATTGTAGTATACTATAGTATACTACCGACAGGCTCGGCTGACACTCGTATTGCATTGTAGAGTTGTATTACAGTTAAATAATCCCGGCTGGTAGCCGTGATCTATGCCGTGATGTATTGTAAGTATTGTATTAATTAAAGAGTAAATACGGCTCGGCACAATGGTGACATGGTGTACGTATTTACGCAATCATAAATCGCGCTGGCTAAGAATAACTTGTATATATACAATTAATTAACATATTTTCCGTGTAAGACGTTGTAGCGCAAGGGGACAACATTCAGCGTGTATGTTGAGGGTCGTGAGTTCGAGTCCGGAGTGCGCGCAAGCGAATTTGAATTTTTCTTTTTCCCGAAATTGTTTTTTTTCTCGTTTATTTACCTGTCGCATAGCTAACTATATGCATTGGGAAGATGAATATAGATGCATTTCGATGATTTTCGGAAAATTTAATGTAATTTTGGTCGTTTTCTGCTTATGAAACATTCTAGAACCAGTCTCCGAAATGCGCGCATTTTTTGAACGAATAGTATACTATAGTACAGCCCGGCTGGCAGCCGAGCAATCGGAGACAAAATTTCCGGCTGTCAGCCGGCGTCAAACGCGCTAATCGGGTGAACACTTCTATTTGTAAATAGCTAGTTTTTCATCTTATCATGCATGGATAGTACATTTTTACATGTAAGTATATATAAACAGTAATATTTTTCAATTATTTTTAATAGTATTGTTCTTAACCTGTCGGGACACAGAGTAATAGCAGTATTTTTTTTTTACTGAAGTGTTTTTACCTACATGTAAACATTCATGAATAATAATAATAATATTGATGATATTAAGAATGACTACAATGAATATAATCAGAGAGTTGTATTGTGATGTAAACAAGAAGTCCAAGCAAGATTCATTATTGGACATACATTTTTTAATACAAGCATTAGAGGCCCAACACTATCCTGCTTATTCTGTATCTGGCCAGATAGCAAAATCCAATATCTGGTGCACCAGTAGATGATAGCGCCCATCCAGCAGAATACTAATGAGCTTGTGATTTCCCCAACCATATGACGTCAGCATTTTTTAGGATAAGAGTGACGTCATTTTTGGAACATTTGTCGCATAACATTTGTCACATGATCTTTTGGAAGTTTCAGATGGCGTCAGCAAGACGTATAAAAACGGGAGTTTTATATTTATTTTAAAGTGGAAAGTTTATGCGATATGTTTGCAGGAATGAGTATTTCTCAGGTCCCAAACGATTTGGTTGTGAATGAAGTATCTTATGAAGTGAAGAATGTTTGTGATTTGATGAATGCTGTGTTTTTCGAAGCAGTTTGTGAAATTCAGAGACTATTGAAGGAGAAATGTCCTGGCTGCGAAGTCGATCATCCAAGTCAGAGGAGACACGACTGTATTATGTTGTCAGATGAGGAGGGATGGTTACTGCATGGTTTGGAAGCAGTGGAGCATGTGATTGAGCATGGAATTGTGAGGAAACAGTTTCTTGAAGCTATTCGAGTGATGAAATTGGAATATTACGGGTGTGCGAAAGAACATTATGTGAACTTGATAAAAGATCGTGAAGTAACACTTGATTTTTTGGGGGATTTGAGAGGAAGTTTTTCCTATTATCAACCCATTTTGAACTACCTAATGTATTGGAGGGAAGAACATTGTGCATAAGACACATTTAGTTTAAACCATTTATTTATTTATAAAGTTGTAAAAGATTTTTTAACAGAGATGTTTTGTAAAACTACTAATGTTTTTTGAGAACAAAGATTTTACAATTTACTGAGTTGTTCTCATAGTTTATTTTTTAAATGTTTCTGAAACGCTTTTTTATGATCCGTTTCAAGGGATTTGAATGTTTCCTTTGTCCCTTTGACATAATAGGTGTATCTTGGCGGTGAGCTGAAATGACATTGAGCATAGGATTCCAGGGGGTCAGTTTGTGGATTCCATATGTCATGTAGAATACGTAGTAATGGTCGATTGTCTTGATATACTTGTAGTAAAATGTAGACAAAGTTTTGATCCGGTTCTTCTTGCAAACACATCAAGTGCTGTGTGAAATTTTTATGATTTTCTACGTTTAGAATTTTGATAGCGGCCATGAATTTGTTCCATGTGGAGGACGTGTTGTGTTCTATAGCGTTGAACCTGTGCATTCCCCAAGTTTCGTGTTCATCCATCATTAGACATCCTGTTTGTATACTTTACAGCCACAGCAGCATTCATTGCATATTTTTTTAACCTCACATGCTACGTTCTTAGCGTAGATTACTTCCAGTAAGTGAAATATTGAACCAGCTATTATCAGTCAGTGTACAACTGTTTGCCGTGCTTTTTGACAGGTTTAAGATATATACTTTTTAGGCATTTGTCGTGTAACACATTTGTTCCATGTCGCATAGTGTTTGTTCCACTACATTTGTCACATAGCGTTTGTTCTATGACCTTTGTTGCGTAACACGTATGATGTGACCTTAATCTTGATCTTGGAAGCCAGTGCGGATTTTGTGCACTTTTGGCGCCACGATGACGCTCATATATGTGTGTGACGAGGCATTTTGGGGCAAAAGCGAAGAGGGCAAGCAGAAGTAGAAAAAAGAGCAAAGGAACTGTAAACATGGATAGATGTGAAAGGCATAATGAGAGGCATAGGAGGTATACGGCAAGGCACAGGCAACAGGAGGAAGAGGGAGATAGGGAGCTCATGCATTTGCACGAGTTCTATGGAGCCATGATGAATGTTAATTTTTGGTACCACAACCATCCTGAGGCGTTTCTAGAGGAAATGATTGCTCTGGAGGAGATTTTGCTGAATCTACAGTGAAGAAAAAACGGCTCTTTTAAGAGCCACCAAATCTATGAAAGAATATGAGCGGTTCGAAATTGTGTATAATTTTTTTTCATGTAGGTGAATTATTTGCAGGGGAATTTTTATGCAGGTAAATTGAATAGTTATAAGGCAACTTTTTACGTGTGAGGCAAGTGCAAATATCGTATTCGTTTGAATTCTTTTATATATTTGTTGGTTCCTAAAGGAACCAGGATTTTTTTCTTCTTTACAGTTGCTGTTCCAGCCACAAACCGTACGCTTCCACCTCAACTTTGGGACAGTGCTGGTACACGTTAACTGCCAGGTGTTTTCCACAGGTATCCAACCATATCATCATCGAACTGTTTTTGCGCTTTTGGGCAACCGAAGCATTCTAGGTTTACGAATGGAATGTTAAGGTCTGCCAGCAGGTTTTTTTCGTAATTCCCGCCCTTGTACGCAACAAGTGAGTTCTTGTGCATGCTACCATAGAGGTTTCTGACTATTTCCTTTAGGGCTGATAACGGGATGGCATCAACTCCAGCTAGTACATCAAAGGGGAGTTTATGGATGTGAGTTTGTCCTTAGATCTTTTGGTGCCAAATCACGCCATCGCAGACCGATGTCGAAAAAGGATTGTGCTGTAGCATCTCAGCTTTTTAGGAAGCCCGGTTCTTTGCAGAGAAATTTCCCATTTACAGAAAATCTGTCCATATCGAGAATTGCAGCAATATCCTTAAGACAGTAAGACATTTTGAAATATTGAACACAATTTTCGATTTGCTTTATATCATTTTAATAGCGTTGTTGCATAGCATTTGTCGCATAACTTTTTTCATGTGACACTTGTCGCATAGCATTTGTCGCATAACTTTTTTCATGTGAAACTTGTCGCATAGCATTTGTTCCATAACGTTTGTTGCATAACATGTATGATTTGGCGGGTTGAATTTTTTTTTTGTATAAAAGGCAGGAAAAAGTGTTTATTTTAAAGTTATAGCAATGGAGTGTATGCATTGAAAACCCACTTCCAATTCAACTACAGACAAAGGCTCCTTTTGGTTTTGTGGACAGAAGCCCAGCTGTGGATTTCTATGTACAGAAGAGGACGGTTATCTGTTCCAGACAGCTCTGGCAGCTTGGAGAGCCATGGGTTTGACGCAGCCGATATGCGAGAGTCACCGAAAGCCAGCGAAGTTTTGTGTAGTTAAAGACACGCTGAAAAAGTCTTATGGGCGACCTTATTTTACGTGTGCAAGTTGGGAGAATCCTTGCTCCTTATGGATGTGGGCAGATGAGAAGAAATTGAGAAACCCAACTGCTATCACAACGAACCGTGCACCGTGAAGCAAGTCAAGAAACAAGGTCCCAATACGGGTAAAAAGTTCTTCTGTTGTTGCAATGAAAACCGGTGTGATTATTTTGAATGGGGGTCTTGAGGAATTGCCAAAACAGCCTGACACCATGGCGCCTTTCGTACCACTGTTTTACAATCGTTATTATCCAGATGCTCAGCAGAACTGAAACATTTATATAAACATTTAACGTATAATTAAAGAGCTTTGTATTATCATGTTTATGAATATATATTTGAAACGTACAACGCCTCGTGGTGCTCAAGCAAATCATTAATAGGATGACATAATGTTCTCATGTCAATATCAACGCCCCGTGTCTGCAAGTCGTCTAGTATCACTTCCATTGAAATAAAGCAACAAATGAATACAACATGTGAAACCATTTATTTATATACCGGGTGGCCTCCTGTTTGATTCGTAATAACTTCTAAACAAGTAAAGTTTTTAAAGAGAAATAACTTGCATTAAATAGAGGAAGGACTAACTTAGATTTTGATATATTACAGTTGTATTTAACTTAAAAATTTACGGATATATTAATGTTAAAAATGGGGAGCATATTTTGGAATGTGTCTAAAATTAGCGAAAATCGGCATATCAAATATTAACTCCAGCGTTTGTTTGCTTAATGACATATTAGGCTAACTTGTATTTCAGCGAATTATCGTTAAGGTTTGTAAGGGATATGGCGTAGATTTAGGCATCTTACATGTAAGTCTTAGCTCATTGTTTCCTGAAATATGAACGTTCGAAATTATGCAAGTATTTAATATTAGGTCTTTGCAAACTTAAATGTACATGAAAGACTGACCATGGAAGGCAGGCGCTTAAATTTTTCGTATTCTTAAATAGCCTAATTTTTTTATGTTTTTTAATGGGTTCAAACAGACTGAGTAGATTATTTCTCGGTTAGAGCAGGATGAATATTCTTTATTGAAGGAAATAATATTGCTTTTTGCAAATACACATCACCGTATCAACGCTACTATTTTGTTACGTTTTGTTCCAAAAATGTTGCATGTCTCTGGGGAGTTGCTTAATTGTTATGTCTTATGGAGTTGTATGGTTTGATTGTGTTTCATCCAATGACGATCCTTCGCGATGCAGTGGTCTCATGAAATAAGGAAACGTATTCGTGCTAGGAACACACACGAATTTCGGACGAATGAATCTTGCTTGTATTTTGTAGATATAATAATACTTTGTTTCATAATAAACAATTTGTCAAGTGTCATTTATTTACTGGTAATAGTGCATGTTTCAGTCGGGCAAATCTTGATTAATATTTGATACGCCGATTTTTGCATATTTCAGACACATCCAAAAATATCCTCCCGAATTTAAAGATTAATATCTCCGTGAATTTTTAAGTGAAATACAACTGTAATATATCAAAGTCTAAGTTAGTCCTTCCTCTATTTGATGCAAGTTATTTCTCTTTAAAAGCTATACTTGTTTAGATGTTATTACGAATCAAACAGGAGTACTTTTTTTTGGGCCACCCGGTACAACAAATTCAACAAACAATTTTTATCTACAGTAGTCAACAAATACTAGATCTCATCTAAACAATCCTACGTTAAGCTATGACTAGCTCTATCGCATTGATTCTAGGGTTCTTAGCTACATTTTATTGTATGACATTAAAAAGTCGCACATGAATAAACGTTTTCGCGGGAAAATATAGAACAAAGTTTGCTGTTAAAACATGGCGTTCAAAATGCTTGTAATCATACTGTTCATGCTCGTCAAGTCATC